CCGAAATCTTTCACCTTGAATTCTGTACTTCTACAGTTTAAAAGGTAATAATGTATAGTTAAAATGAATATCCGAAATACGGAAATGTACGGCCAGGACATCAGGGGTAGTACTTTGGTCGACCGAAACACGCGCAATTGTAATAAAGTCTGAATGTCAGGGGAGTTCCGTATTGTGCTCCCCTTTTTGCTTCCCGTTTTTCGGTGAACAGGGGAAACAGAACAACGATGATGGATTTCGGTAATAACGCAGCAATACGGAAATAATGAAAATGTATTAAAATTACGATTACGATTTTCGGATTCTCCCAGGAGGAGAGAAGTACCTTGGCACTTCGGAGAAGACAGATTAGTCAAAAATTGTATTTGGCAGGATTAATTTCACCTTTTAGGAAACCACATAAATTTATTACTTAGCTTAAAAAACATACAAAATGAATAAAAAGTTTATTTTACACAAACTAATTATGTCATCGCCAAACCATCTGGATTAGTTTGATGACAACCCCTGCGGGCATGAATAATCGAACGTGTGACCACCTAAATACTGCACTGCGTCCACTCGGGTGGTGATAGTGGTCATGCTCCGAAGGGAAACGAAGGGTTAGTTTCAATCAAGTCCATCGTCAATGATTACAGTCATTCAGAACCCTTCTAAAATCTATTTAAGCCATTTAGTGTCACACACAAAACACACTTTTAAAGAGTTATTCATTAAAAACAATTAATTCAAAGAAAACAAGAAAAAATATTGTTCTAAATTGTTACTCTCGGTTTTGTTACACACAATAATTCTATTGTTAACGAGTAATAAATTGATTTAGAAATTATTACGTACGTGCCTTTTTTCGTGTACGAGTACGTACTCTTTGATTATGTAGCCCTTGAGCGTGATATTAAGTTGTGTGTTTGGTTTTTATTTTATTGACTGAATGGTAATTCAAATAACGAACTCGGAACTCAAAACTCCCACGCTTCGTCGTTTAATGATGGCAGGTAAATACACACCGGGTCGAAGACGATACGGAGCTCCAGGTATAGCATTAAAGTATTATGCTATTATGTGTTTTTTTTATATTTGCACGCGACATAAATTGTTGTGTAAACTCTTCGCGGAGAGGACTTTCGATGACTATGACGTAATGATAGACTATTAACGCATGGTAAATACGTAATTATATTGTCAGTTCTATGAAGAGTAATATTTTTATGTGTTTTTAGAACTTTTTACAGAAATGTTAGTTAGAGCATTTATAACTTAAGAATGGTTGAACAGATTTTGATGATTTATATTTTACTGGATTTGTTTGAGCCTAGAATAGCAGAATAATTATTAAAATATAGGAATTGTGATTTAAAGGGTGTTAAATAAGGGATGAAAGTTAGTATAAAGATTCAATTATAGTTAAAGTTAATTGTATCGTAGATGGCGTTGAAGTGCATTATTAGCATCTCTTTTCTTTCAAATAAAAGTTAGTTACAAACTAGTTTTTATATTTCATGTGACAATTGATCTAAAAGCAGAAATATAATTTTCTAAAAATGTTTTATGTAGTGGAATATATGATTATGTTACATTTTGTGAAAATGCATCGAAAATTCAATTCTTTCATCTTATTGACTCCGACAACTCGAGTGCATTGTGGTGGGGTTTTCTGTTCACGTCTTTTTCTTTTAGATTCAAGATTTGAAATGCATTATTGCATTCTTCTCCTCAGATATAGCATTATAAATTTTCCGGGTTTCTAGAACACACAAAACCAAATTTCAATGTATAGTAAAACATCATTATTTTATATATAAACCAAAGTATATTAATAAAAAATATTTAGGTTTATAATACGCTTAAAAACTTGAGTAATTAAAGAATATTTAGATGCGTTTTTTGCGTTTATATTATAACTTAAATTGACTTTACTTAATTTTCATACTGCAAGTTTTCGCAATACAGCGCAATTTCACTGGCACTGGCACTAGGGATTTTTCATTACTTGTTCTCTTCGTGGTCCTCGAGGAAATGCATCCGCCGTGTGTGCTCGAAGCATTCTTAATAAGAACAAGCGTTTTTCATCAAGTAATTTCCGAACGTGTTGTTGTTTTCTGCACCCGGCGAACAAATTGCTTTCCGTGGTTTTTAATTACACTTTTTCAGCGCCGGAGAGATGAGATGAGATTGTTCACGATACGCTGGAATACAAAATGCATAAACTCATTTACATTTACTCTAAAATATGATTAATTATTATTATTTACCTAATATAATTTTGGTGTTAAAAATGTATGTGAGAATTGAAGAGGGTTAAATTTGGCTTCCGCTCAATTTCAGAAAAGAGAAAGAAAACAATGAAAGCAAATTGTCCAACCCGCATTTTCAATTCTCCACGAGCCACTTAATCTTCATCGCATTAGGTTAGAGTGTTAGAACTATTGTTACTTGTTTAATTACACAAGTCGCAGCGATGTTAATTTTTTGCTTCGTTTGCTTTTCACTCCTCTGGCGGTTGGAATTCGTAAAACAGCCGAACGTGAAATGAAAATTCAATTACATCATTCATCATTTGTTACAATTACAACACTCATAGACGAAATATTTTACAACTGTGAGAAAATGTTTTATCGTGTAGAACATCGCAAAGAAGTGATGTATAAATTAATTTCGGACGGTTTTTGATTTGAGCATGATTAATCTTTTTGTTTGCGTTTATTTTGTGTGTTTGTAATGTGCGGCGGAATTGACCACATCAAGAAAGACGAGCTCGGTTTTAATTAAATTAATTCCAGTTTCCCGAAAAATTACTCGCGGCTGGAAACAAAGAACAAACGAAAACTATACTGTAGCGTGGTCCATGATGTTGTGCAATTTATAACAATTGTTCGTGTTTTTTTTTAAACCTGACATAGGAATACTAGCAACAGCTCAGTAACAGCAACAGCAACACAAAGAGTAATTAATTATTCTTAACAATAACAAATAGTGGGTGGATAGATGGAAAAAAATTGAAAAATATGGCAGAAGAGATAATCAATCAAAATTAAGTTGAGATATATTTACAAATAGATTAATTATAATAATAGACATCTTGAATGTAATTAAAAAGCATTAAAATCATATTTTTATTAAAATTTGAGCAGAGAAACACAAATCACGTATTTTTGTTATTTTGTTTAATAAATGAGAGGTTGATGATTATTTTAACAAAAAACAAACAGAAAAATGTTAGAACGATGTGCAGAATACTAATTAGAGGAAACTACTCAATACTGGCGTCATTTTCTGCTTCTATTTTAATATAAATAAAAGAATAAAAATAAAAATTACAAAATACAAATTTAATTATTTACAAACAAAACTAACATTTTTTAAATTAAAAAAATATGCGACTGTTATGATTTTAAAAATTATATAAATATGAAAGTTGAAAGTTTAAAGTTGAAACTGAAATAATATTTTTTTATTACATCCATTTGAAATGCCTGTAAAAGAAGAAGTGGAAGAATAATTAATGACTGCTAGTCGACGGCGGCCAGCGGCCGCAAAACGCCCACCCAGTTTGTTTTTTTTATCCTTAATTGACTTTTAACTTAATGGGTGGCAGACACGCTCCTCACATACCTAGATATCACTTCACAATCGGAATCCTGTATCCACCAATACACAATCTAATTGATTTATAATTCTTGACATATGATTAATACTCACGCCATCTATTTCATGCTAGAATAAGTAAAACTAAGCTACTTTTTCTTTTTATTCTTCTTGCGCTGTTGTTGAGCAATTTATTTCTTTATCTCTGCGGCAGTTATGGCAGTTTTCAGCATGAAAACTTTATTCGTGTTTATTTGTTCTTATTTCACTTGAGTTCTTGCGTGTGGGTGTCGTGTGTCTGGGCGCACTTTGCTGGAAACTTCCCCTAATGCCCGGCACATTATCCACCAGTGCAGTGTGAAGTAAAAAGCGAGTTACTTTCGCAGTAATTACAACAAAGTTGTCTTTTCGTCGTCGGCGGTGTTCACTCATTTTGTTCATTTTGTTCACTTAACGTGAGATAAAACTGAGAGATTGCATTACGGCAATATCCCTCGCGACAAGAGCAAAACTACTCGGTATCAACATTTGGAGTAAAATGTAGAATAAAATGTGTTACAATTGCTCGTTAGTAAAACTTCCAGTTTAAAACACACACACAGGAAAAACTAGGAATTTTCAGTTCAGGTTCCGGAAAAAAATAGAAAAAATAAAAGAAAATTGTGACCATGTCGGATGTGATGTGTGATAAGAACACAAACATGACTGAAGTGGAAGTGCAGTGTAACATGACATGGCGGCATGTGCACCACTTACATTCCAACTTCCAACATGGCCGCCGCTGGCGTTGTTTCCTTTTTAAACAGGGTTTTTCTATTGTGTTTACCGCGTGCGGATTAATGGCCTGCGACAAAGTGCATAAATTCACTGATAAAAAACGCATTAGTAAAGTGTAGTTTCCTGGAAATTTAAGGACAAAGTTTTTGTACTGCTAATGTTTTCACACTTAAAAAAACAGCGTAATATTATTTCTAATGAAATCAATTTAACTGTCCTGCCAAAGCATTTCATTGAAATAGTTTACATTATGCTTAACAGTGGTTTTAATGCGTAGGTTAGGCTCGCGAATCAATCGATTATCTGTCTGCATCCTGTCGTGTTTGTTATCGTTACGTTGTGCATCTGCACATCTGCTTTTTAGCTTTCAATGCACCTAACAAAGAAATAAAGAATAAAAACGTTGTTATTGAAGCGTCAATTGCAATTCAAAGTCAATGACTCCCAATGCAAATATTATACTCGCTCTTTACATGCCAATGTGTGATATTTTACTAACAACCTTTCAATTTTGCTTATTTTCATGCTGCTTTCTATTAATTATACTAACCAGGACTTAAATGTAAGTATTTTAATCACTAAAAACAAAATTTTTTGCTAAAAGCGATTTTTCTCATCTAATTCTAATATTTTTTTAGATACTGACAATCAACGTGTGATTATCCACGTCCGAGATGTCAATGATGAACCACCATACTTCATCAACCGTCCATTGCCGATGCAAGCCGTGGTCCAGCTCAACGCACCTCCAAACACGCCGGTTTTCACGCTGCAGGCACGCGACCCCGACACGGATCACAATATCCATTACTTCATCGTCCGCGACCGAACTGGCAACCGTTTCGAGGTGGACGAACGCTCCGGTGTGGTGCGAACACGCGGCACCGACCTCTTCCAGCTGGATATGGAGTACGTGCTCTATGTGAAGGCAGAGGATCAGAACGGACGTGTGGACGAGCGGCGGTTCCAGTCAACGGCCGAGGAACGCCTATCGATTGTGGGCGGCAAGCGTGCGCCACAATTCTATATGCCTAGCTATGAGGCAGAGATTCCTGAAAATCAGAAAAAGGATTCCGAGTTAGTATTTGTACATTCACCAATATTAATATCCACTGTGGTGTGGTGTGGGGGTGCGGATGTGTATGGAAGATGAATTTTTCTTCCTCGGATGTGATCTAGTACATGACGGGTTGTTTCTGGCACTGGTTCAACTTTCTTTTGAATTTTTTTTTTGTTTTTTGCTTGTCTAGTCGTGTCTAGTCCAGTCAGCAACTTGTTAGGGGATGCGCCAGACAACCAGACGTAGTGGTTGTATTTTTTTCTTCCCTTATTTTGGTGTTATTTATGTTGTTCAGACTTTACTACTCCGGAAAAGGGGTTGAAACGTATACTGCTGCACTTTTATTCCTCTGAATCTCAATTCTTGATTTAGCTGATAAAGTTTTCGCTGAAATATGCTTGGAAATATTCAGTAGAAACTTCTCTAATGAAAATTGTTTCAAAATCAGCGCTGGTATTGTTATTTACTGTCATTCTTTATAAGTTGAATACTGTATAAATCTGCTGTAGACATATTCAATTTAATTTTCGCTGTTTCGGGTTTCACTGTGCTATATACTCGGTATTTACATGCGACTAACAGTTTCATGTTTAGAATTCACTTAAACAGAACTGTTTTCAATATGGCGCTCGGCTTGTGTATCTCGTTTTAATTGAATTTGTACACACGGCACGCTAGTTTATTAGTCATATTTGTGCAGGTGCCTTTCTCACGTGCGAATGAATTTTTAACTCTTGCTACGGACGCGAGTTTGAACAACTTTGAATAATTATAATGTAATTATTAATCAAAGCTTGCGAGTTGCATTCGTGTTCATATGTACCACTAGTGCATTTGCAGAGGAAAGTTGTAATTGTGCTGTAAACAACAAATTTTCCGAAAAACATTTGCTGCACTGCAAACAACGCAAACTTCATTTCTATGCGTGCAACTCGAGTGAAGTTGAACATAATTATGAGAGAGGGTTAATTGCGCATTAAAATTGTGAGATCATGTGCCAATTTAGTTAAGATGCGACATGAAGTCATTTGAATGCACCGCACATCTTGTAAACATGTAAAGTTGTAAACATCAAGTGAGAATGCGAATTTCCAATTCAATTCCGATGATATTTCAAAGCTCTCATGTTAGATAAGACACTTTGATTAGAAATGCTAACCTCTGGTGGGCATTATTATGAGCAACGATGGTGCGGTGTAATGTAATTACGGCTAATGCATGTTTCATAAGTGAGTGTCACACGTAGATGTTATCCGAGCGAAGGTAATTATGGCCGCGCAATGTGTAGTTTTGGCGCACCAAACGACGCCTCGTTTTCGGGCACATCGGCCCGCGTGTATCGCACCTGTAATCTCGGGCGGGGGGTAATGCTTATTTGATGGAAATTGGCCTGCGACGGGAAGGAAAGCTCGCTCGCGGCGCCAGAAGTCGCTATCTGATAAGCAAAGATAATTTATTCCGTCGGACAGACACAAAAAGATATATTGGGGTTTTAGCACGACGAAATTCAAACTTCAAGCTGGCGTTTTTGCTGTTGAGAATATATATTATAGTTTAAAATAGATAAGTTTAAAGTTATATATTAAAACTATGATGGCGGCTGAATATTATTACTGAATTTTATGAAGTTTGTGCATTGTCTAGGGATTTATCGATGTGTTTTTGTGAATATTTTATCACAGTCATTAGTTTTTATGTTTAAATGTGTGTTTATGACCACATCGAATGAAAATGGCGGATATTTCTGCTATGTAGTTGCTTAAAGCGAAACTTATTGCAAATGGCGCGGTTGAGATTTCCATACGAAATCCACCCTGTATCCCCATTGATATCGATTGCCATTATCACATCCACACACCACACGCGATCACCATCACCACCGGAATTCAATAAGTCATGCAAATTGCGCTGTAAATTTATTCCAACTCAATGTGCCACTTTTTTAGCATAATCTCGGTGAAAGCGAAGTCCTTCGCCGACCGCGAGATCCGCTACACCCTGAAGGCACAGGGCCAGGGTGCTGGTACGTTCAACATTGGCCCAACTTCCGGTATTGTGAAACTCGCCAAGGAGTTAGACTTCGAGGACCTCCGTCAGCCGCACGTTTACTCGCTGGTGGTAACTGCGACTGAAGATTCCGGTGGTTTCTCCACTTCGGTTGAGGTATGATAAATCTATGCAAATGTGACTTGAGTGAAGCGCATGCTAATATTCATCATTTTAGCTCACGATTCGAGTGACGGACGTCAACGACAACGCCCCGAAATTCGAACTCCCTGACTACCAAGCGCATAATATCGATGAGGATTACCCGCCGGGCACGACCATCTTGAAAGTCAAGGCGATGGATGCCGACAGCGGTGCCAATGCTGAAATCGATTACAGTGTCTCGGATGATCACTTCAGCGTGGATCCCAGTGGAATTATCTCAATCAATAAGCAATTGGATGCTGATAATAACAACGCTTATTATGAATTTATTGTCACGGCTAAGGATAAAGGTGAACCGGCAAAGACTGGAACTGCTACTGTTCGAGTATACACCAAGAACAAGAATGACGAAGAGCCTAAATTCTCACAGCAAGTGTACACACCAAATGTTGATGAAAATGCTGGGCCTAACACTCTCGTAACGACTGTAGTTGCTTCTGATAAAGATGGTGACAATGTAAGATTTGGTTTTGTTGGAGGCGGTACCAGTTCAGGCCAGTTTGTCATTGAAGAAATTACTGGTGTAATTCGATTGCACGGTAAAGCAATCACGTTAGATAAAGATAAATATGAACTGAATGTCACCGCTATGGATGACGGTGCGTGTTGCGCCAATGGAGATCAAACAATTCATACTAGCACTGCTGTTGTTGTTGTTTTCATCACTGACGTCAACGACAACAAACCGATCTTCAACGATTGTGGCACATACTACCCGAAAGTAGAAGAAGGTGCACCTAACGGATCACCAGTCATCAAAGTACACGCCACAGACGAAGATAAAGGTGTTAATGGACAAGTAAAGTACTCGATTGTACAACAACCCAATCAGAAGGGTACAAAGTTCACTGTCGACGAGGAAACAGGCGAAGTTTCAACAAATAAAGTGTTTGATCGAGAAGGTGACGATGGAAAGTTTGTGTCTGTCACTGTCAAGGCCACAGATCAAGGAGAACCATCACTGGAAGGCGTTTGCTCTTTCACCGTCGAGATTACGGACGTTAATGATAATCCACCATTGTTTGATCGACAGGTACGGAATACTTCTAACATTTTTCGAATGTTTTTGTTCTAAATTGAGCACGGGTTGCGGTTTTATTAAGAAATTCCACGTATTTCATTTGTCCACGTACGTGCAATACCTTTTAAACATTTTCTGATGTTGGTCCCTTTTTATCCTCGCAGAAATATGTGGAGAATGTGAAGCAGGACGCGAGCATTGGCACGAACATTCTGCGCGTGTCGGCGTCGGACGAGGATGCCGACAACAACGGTGCCATCGTGTACACGCTCAACGCCGGACCCAATCATCAGGACCTCGAATACTTTGAGATCCAACCGGAGTCCGGCTGGATCGTACTCAAGAAGCCGCTCGACGTAAGTACAACAGCGAATGACTTGGCTCTTCTCTCTTTCCGTATATATATACACTCTATGAATTCTCTTTGTTCTCACTTTATATTGAAATTCGAAAGCGCGCTGTAGGTTTTTAATCATTTGTCGTGTACATGTGTGTGCCATTCTCTTGCCATTAGCACAGACACAAAAGGGTAGCGCTAGGCTGCCATCAGATCAGCATCAGCTGCGAATGGTTGCGATTGTGAATTAAGCATGAATGAAATGAAATAATGTGAGAGATTTGGGTGTGCGTTCGCTTTGGCGTGGATGGTTTTGCGTGTGCGAAAACATTTCAGGGACACTTTTCGTCTGGCGTCGACGAAGGGTTGCGGGGCCTCTACGCTGACGCAGGAGCAGATCTTTAGGTACGAGTGGATAATAGCTGCTTCTTCTGTACTCTTCATTTCAGCGCACCTTTGTTTGAGTTGCTCTGATCTCTCGGCAGATCGATTGCACTGATCTAAATCTTTATTGACTAAGTTCTTTTATACGGCACACCTTGCATAACAATGTACCTTCTACGGGTGCATTCGATTTAATCTTTTTTAGTGTAAATCGACGTCGCGCTTGGCACTGCAATCCCGCCGGGACTTGAGATTGGCGAATGTTGATAGTCGAACAATATGGCGGACTTCCGGTGTTTTGTTCGGCGAGATCAATCGCGATAAACGCGCATGTTTGATGATTTTTTGCTGTGTGGAGCGAGTGCCAAGCGCGAGTCTATACTAATTTTGACAAGTAGCAAGGGAAATTGTTTTTTGATACCAGGTGCTACTGCCAGTTTTTGCGTCCACTGCGATGTGAGGGTGGGCCGAGCCGATTTTTGTGGACCGCCGTGCCATATTCGAATTTTTGCTCTCTTTATATCTCTATTACATCTCCCGTCGACAATCTTGATTTGCAGAGATTGAAGCATATTTTTTGCGTGAATTTCTGTGTGTCTGACCCTCATGTGCCAATGATTTTTGCCATTTTGATACCATTTTTACAAGTGATTTTTTACAGGAGATTTGTCGACACACAAACACTCTCTTTGATTGAAAAAAATGTTTAACCGTAGTTTACACATATTTTGGTCACCCAGTGTCGCGAGAGGCCGCTTTTTTGAAACCCGGGGATTTGGGCGATCGGCACTCTTGCGGCGCTTCGACATTGTGACATTTTTAATCCTGTGTATGGGGCGGCGTACTAACTTTGACTAAAACCAATTTAACCCAAACAAAAAAAAAATTAACAGCTCGATCAAGTAGAACACGTATTATCCAAAAAAACAAAAACTCCGTGACCGTGTGCTTACCATCGAACGTCCATCGGTTTTTGAAGGTCGTTTTCGAGAGGAGAATCCAAAAAATTAACCAAAAACAGAAAAAAAAAAGAACGTGAAAAGAAACATGGAGACTTTTTGCACATCCTTGTTCTCCCGCCCCGCCCCAAGTGTTTTTGAGACTTTTTTTGCATGACCATAATATAAATGCCTGCTTCGTCAAAGTTTTCGTTACGTTCTTTTTTATCAATATCGATATATACAATATATATTTACATATATTGTTATGTACTATACGTTATTTTTTACCAACTTTTGTTTTACAAATTGCACCTTTCTGTTTCTTCGGCGTTTCCGCCCGTTCAACCGATTTCGACCAGCAGGGATGCTATTCAGTAAGTAAGGTGTACCAACCGGACCCGGACCCTCGAGTAGCGCAGCCAGCAAGCAGACCCCTGGTATTTTGCCACGCAGCTATAGTGCTCGTCGAGCGCATATTATCTCTCTCTATCTCTTAGACTCTTTGATTTGATTCGAGTCGATTTCCATTTCTGTGCCGACGCATCAGTGCGGGGACGAAATTGCCTTGGTTTCGAATTTGTCTACTACCAAAACAACCACCACCAGAGTGGGTGTCGCACTCTCCGACCGGGTCAAAGTTTGTGCGTGCGGATGCAGAAATGCGAAGTCGGCGTGTTTCGGCCCGCTGTGCTCGAACCTCACCGCCCCCCCGCCGTAACAGACTGCTGTAACAGAATTAACAATTGATTAACCGCTAAATTTACCACCACTTGATCGTATCCTAATTGGTTGTGATAATTCAGGTGCGCTGAGGTCGTGTAGGCGGCGGCCGCTTGCTTTCCGTTACTCTAGTGCCGTCAAAATTGATCGCTATCCAAACGTGTGTAGAGTCTATGATGATCTCGGATTAACAATGCGTTTCGAATTTACGTTTGTGTTGTGTGATTGAGTTGTTTCCGTTTTTCGGTTGTTTCTCTTAGTTTTGACGCAGCGTATGTTTTCGTTTTTGTTAATTGATTATTGATTACTGATCTCTGATTGAGTGTGTTCTATTTGGTTTGTCCCATGAGCCCTGACCTGACCGTGCCCTTATATTTAGCGAGACAGGTATCGACTGCGCGTGCGGGCCTCGGACAGAGGTGATGCCCCTTTGTATGCGGACGTGGACGTTGAGTTAGACGTCGTAGACAGGAACAATAAGCCTCCTCTGTGGGACGTGAATGTGTACGGCCCCATTCACATCAAAGAAAATGTCACAGTGGGTACTGTAGTGACATCCGTGAAAGCCAGGTTGGTATTGTCGACGATCGCACTGACGTGAAGACGAAATATATGATGAGATGAGTAAAACGAGTCAGAAACGATGAAAGATGAAAAGTTAAAGCAAAAAACATGAAAGCGCCGACGTGCGTCGTGCTCTGGGTGTCCTCGCGTGGGTGGGCGTGGGTTCGGTATTCGTCGCGATCGCGTTTTTGGCCAACTGGGGTTCCGCGGTGCTTCCAAATTCAAGAAGCACTCCTATTACCGAACGAAATTTATTCCGCCGCCGTCGTTGCTGTGATGAACTTGGGCGTCCCGGGCACGACGTGGAATACCTTCCAGGAAACACACAGTCCATCCGACACACCTTCTTACTTACTGCTGCCCAATATTGCCGCCCAGCCACAATTTATCCAACTAACACTTGGTTACTTATTATTGTTGTTCCGGCGCGTGCTCAGAGAGAAACGTACAAGCTGGAGGCCACCGCGCAAGACAAAGGTTATCCGCCGCTATCACGTTCGGTGGAGGTGCAAATCGATGTCGTGGATCGGGCGAACAACCCACCCGTATGGGACCACGTGGTCTACGGGCCGATCTACATACGAGAGAACCTCCCGGTCGGGGCAAAGGTCGTGTCGGTGAAAGCCAGGTCTGTGCCCTGTCAGTGTGGTTGCTCGTGCGGCAGCACGCCGCTGCACGGCACACGGTGGTCTGTTTGTGCACGCTTCACCCGACCAGGGGCCAGCACGCGCCCCCGGCCTTAATTATATATTATTACTATTATATATATCTATATATTTCTTATTAATTCATTACTCCTTTGAACCCCTTACCCCCACCCTTGAAATTCATTCCACTGGCCCAGTTAACAAGTAGACTGATCTATGTGTAGGATCCCTCTGGTCCCTCTACTCCCAAAACAACAAAAACACACCTCTCGATCAAAAAAACACTCGAAACTCAAACTTATCGATCATAAATCACGCTCTCCCAATGTTGTGAAATTCATTCATCTCTCCTCCAACTCTATACTAACACTCTTCAAAAATTGGACTGAACGCTGTTGACGCCTGCACCACACGCAACACACTGGCTTATGGGGCATAAGGGTCATTGCAACACTTCAACAACGTTCAGTCGGCGAGCCCACCCCCTGTTTCACTTCACTTCACCTCCCACAAACCACTGATCTTCATCACCAGCCCGCCGAAACCGCCAACAACCTACATCTCGATAACGACACACGAATTCATCTCATTACTTATGATTAGTGATTAATTACTATGCGAAGTGTATGTAGTTTTTGGGGGCAAAATTTCCGCATCCGGGGGCTAGAAGCATTTTGGGTCGAGTCGCGGGCATAATTAACCAATCACGGCGGAGCAATTTTTATATATATATACCGCACCGATATGAATACTAACCGCTATCAAAACCAAATCAGAAACGATGCACACGCTGCTACCAAGCTGAAAACCCACCCCTTGGGAAAGGATTCCTTTGGCACTCACCTTGTTGATTTTATTCGTAACCATTTTGCGTTTTTTTGTTACGTACGTTCTCTTAGGTTCGCAGTAAATTGATTACCATTCCCGTTGGGATTTTGCAAATATTTTGATTTTTGCCGCATGATGAAGACCTCGTCTGAGTAAAATTAGAATCTTTGTGTTACGGTGCGCGCCCAAGGACTTCTCTTCCAGGTGGTGGTCGGCCAAATGAAAATCGAAACCACATCACGTGCATGTGCTGTGCATCGCGAATAAATTTTGAAAATTTTTACAAAAATTACTACAAGCTGAAAATCAAAAAAAAAACAGAAAGAATGCTTTCGCGGTGATTTTTCATTGATTTTTGTTTGATATTTTTCGTTTTTGCATGTGGCTGAAATGATTTTTATTATTTTTGTAAACAAGCCATGTCTAAATTTACCCAAATAATTTTTTTTTGGTTTTTCGGCGATGTTCAATCGCCCTGTGAAAAAGAAGCTTTTTGTTCGTGACACAGTTCGTGATGAAGTAAAATTTCATTTGTTTTGATAGTAGTGACCTGACTATTACAATCCCCAACGCGTGAGGCCATCGATGCGCAAGCATCGGCGGTCTCCCGCCTTGTGTCGCCCCCACGAGGACGGATTGCTTTAACGTGTTATCCCAACTTTAGCTCCGGCATCGAGAATAACCCCACAGTGTTCTACCGGCTGATGCCCGGCTCCACGGCGCAGACCAACAAGTTCCACACGTTCTATCTCCAACAACGGCCGGAGAACGGCTTCACGTGGGCTGACATCAAGGTCAATCATCCGCTGGACTTTGAGAGCATTAAGGAGTACAATTTGACGATTCGTGTTGAGGTATAACCTAAAACAATCACATTCAAACCAAATATTGATGAATTTCTATTTGTTTAGAACAATGGCGCTCAACAATTGGCCTCGGAAGCAACTGTTTATATTATGCTTGAGGATGTCAACGATGAAATCCCGCTATTCACGGAACGTGAGCAGGAAACTGTCTTGGAAGGTGAACCAATTGGTACAAAGGTCACCCAAGTTAATGCCATTGATAAAGATGGAACTTTCCCTAATAATCAAGTTAGTAATCATCTTTTTTAATTAAATCCTTTATTAATTACACTGTTAATCTTCAGGTGTATTACTTTGTGGTGGATTCATCCCGGAATGAAGGCAAAGACTACTTTGAAATCAATCAGCAGACTGGTGAAGTCTTCACAAAAGTGGTGTTCGATCGTGAGAAGCAAGGAGCCTACGCATTGGAAGTGGAAGCTCGAGATGGTGCCCCCTCGGCGCGTCCAAACAGCGACAACCATCCGAATTCAGGTAGGACCCGAATAACTTTCTACTAAATTAAAAACATAAGATGTTTATGGTTCGCCTCGAGATGAATCGCTCCGCTAAGCTTCGGCTGTTGGAGTTTTATGATGAGTAGGCGAAAACCGGAAACGAGGAAGGGAATAAAGCGCGTCCCTCGATTGCAATCGATAGTACTTAGGGTTGGCATTTCGAAACGAGGAGTGGAATGATAATTAATGCGACTTTCTGTCTATCCTTTGCTGATAGAAGGAAATATCCTGTCATCTCCTTATGTACTTAAATAATTCTTGTAATTCAATTGCAATATTCGATACACAGCGACATAACAAGACACTTGAGGACTTAACGATTGGAAATCTCGGAATTGAATTGAGTTTTAATTAGTTTTCCGCTGTGATACGCAAACGGAAATCGCTTTATAGAGTTAATTAGAGAGCAATTAATTGTTTGCCGACTGGCACTCTCCACATTCAACTTCAACCCCAAAGAAGTTGTTTATCACTATTTATTAAATGCCGTGAAAGGGGATGACGTTTATAAAGAATCGCTCCGAATCGTTTTCAATAAGTGCCCGAGCATGTCTGCGGCGATGGTGTGGTGCATTCTGGAGAATAAAAAGCGCGTGCAATTTCGCTAAGTGTCCGCGCGCGCGCGCCTGCGACGCTTCCGGAAGCGAGCCGAATGCGTTTGGTTTATTTATTGCCGGCCGGGTTTTGTGTTTCGACGCTTCATTGTCCCGAAGTGTACTTCTATTGTCGGGGAAAAGTCCGCGCGCACGAAAAACGGAGATTTTATGGAATTCATTGAATCTGCATCGGAATTTCATTGCAAATAACCAAAAATTATTGCTTCATAAATCCGCCACATCTAGTGGACAAGTATGGGTTGTTAATTAATTTTTCGGTGTATGGATTCATTAAAATTAATGCGATTGTATTCCGTTGATGTCAATCGGCGTGTTGGAATGTTTAATTATTCAATTCGCTGCTAGACGGCGCAGTTTACCACGTTAAACATTGGTAAACATCGAGTAATGCACTTGCAAATATTTACTAAACTAGATTGTTATATTACAACATGCAGAGTGATATTAATTTAAATTTTTCTAATTAAAATATCGACGGATTTTACGTTTTAATTTCTGGAGCATCAAAAATTAATACCGGGAAATTAAATTTTATTATTTGCGTTGATTAAATATTGACGCGGAGTGGATTAATTAATATTTCAACATTTATTACGGAAAAAAACAATATGGCGTGCGCGGCAATTGTGTAAATTATTTTATGACACTGCATGCAGATAAGTGCTTTGCGGTGAATTCTAATTAGAACTTTACAACAATAACAAAATTCTTCAAAATGCAAAATTTAATCTGCGTTACGCTAATATTCTTAGTTAACTAAAACTTGTAGATAGTTGTACGCAGACTATCTATGTTTGCATAAATTTCACCAAGGCATCCATCGCTCCTCTCGCTGCTGGTACGCGCGCGCGCGCTCTGTATTATTTAGTTTATGACTTTATTTTACTCGCGATAAGAGCGAACTATACAACGACCACATATCACCAAAAACAGCGGACCATTAAACTTATCCCAGGGTTACGCGCGCACAGGCGCCAAGGACTCGTACATCCTACTCATCCTCGGGATATTCAGCGCATATCCTGGTTAACTAGCAGTCGCGTGTTCGGCGCTGATGTACGAGCGAGTCGGATGCGCTTGTTGGCTTACTTTGTCGGAGATAGCGGGCGTGAAGGACGGCCGGGTCGAGGGCAATGCATCCCGGAACCAATTTGCATATGTGCGGGTTTCCGCGTGATCGTGATGCATTCCAGATTCGAGAAGCCAGGACGCGGAGACGCCTGTTTCTCATTTTCTCGTTTGTAGTTATCTGTCTGGTTTCGGGGGCCTTCGTGTGCTGCTCCTGCTACAAGCCATGCATACAAATCTTCACGGATTTTTTCGCGCTTTTTTAATTTGGACTCGTTTTTTCCGGCTCTTCAAACTTTGTAGCTACGGTTTAATTAATTAATTAATTAAAATTTAGGTGTGATTAAATTTAATTAGAAATTTGTTTTCGTTTTTTTGGAGTTTTATTAATTAAAAAATATTTTTTTGTGAATTTTTGCTTTTTTTGTCTCAATTTGTTTTCGATTGTCTTTGTGAAGACAACTAAAAAACAAGTCACGTCTAAGTAAACACGCACAATTTTTGCAATCACCAGCGCACGCAGGGGGCCACCTCAAGCTCATTCGCTGACATTCCGCCGACACTCGAAAGGTGTGCGTTTGGAAAAGTAAATTGCACGTTCCCAAAACACGAATTTCTTTCACCGCGCGTTCAATTTCGCCGGGACGCGCGCGTGTTTTCATCGTTCGCCCGCCCTCCATTCCTGCAGTCGTGAAACAAACACTCGACGCTAGACTTTTTCGCCGGGTGAAAGTCGTGGGGGTGTTTAAACGAAGCGGTGCACACTTTTATTTGACACATACCTTTGTGCTTAGTTTAGTTTAGTTTGGTTGCGCTGCTTGGTTTAGTTGTTGTCGGGCAACTTTTACGTGCCGTCACGGGCACAGCAAGAAAAATGGAAAACTGGCAGGCGAGCGAGGCGAGGCTGGAATTGCGCGGAAAATGAAAAGCCATTTGGTGCATTGACATGTTCGCACACAGGCGTGTGAAGTTGGCAAGACGAAACGCGCGTGTAATGAGAACATAACGTGCGAAACATGTCGAAATATTCTCGCAAACAGGCTAAAAACGAAAAAAAAAAAAAAAAAAAACGTGTTAAGTGCTTTGGAACATGTTGACTGCAAGGTGGCGCCATCTGGAACATGATTTATAACGTTTTGAAATGAAGAGATTAATTGCACGTTTTACACGTTTTATCTGGAGGTATTTTTATGGAAGTAATATTTAAATGAGACACCGGAAGTAGGCAATTGCTGTTATTTTTCTCGCGGTTCCGCATTTTGTATTCTTTTGGCTTTCGTCAGGAATTGATGAGCAAATAGACGTTCCTTTTCGCAGCGGTAAGCCGAAACAAACACAGAATTTAGCGCAAACACGCAAAACGTAATATAAATAAATAAGCAAACGCAGAAGCAAACGTAAAAGCAAATGGGAAATACGAACGAAAACTTCCAGCCAGGACAGACGCCCGAAGAAAAAAACAAAACACGCAAGAAAACAAGAAACGCTGCTGCTGCGCGTCGTTGTCGGTTCGTACGTGCAGTGAATGCGTAATGCACAATTCGAATGTTGCAAAACCGGGCAAACACAGAGAGGCGAAAAATGGCCGCTTATGCGAGTGCTAGAAACGCGCAAACGGCAAATATCCGTTATATTTTCATCGTGTGTATGAAAGAAAATTGTGCGCCTTTGTGTAGGTATATATCGGCCATTTCAGTGCATTCAATGTTCTTCTGGTTGCGTTTGTTTACATTTACATCATGGCGCCGCCATCATTAGTAAAACGGCAGCGTCGCGGTGATAAATTTAATAAGATGTGTAATCAACAAACACAGCCGACGCGTCAAGATGATCATAAATTCTTCGCGGCGATCGTGGTTTGGGTTGATGTGCACCTGAGCTGAAATTTAATCCGCCTAGGGGGTATCCGCATCATTTTTACATCGTTTTATACACTTAGTTACATAAAGAAAGGGAAATTTCGATCAAAATTTCATTTTTAAACATTCACGCTTCATAAAATCTTTTAATTTATTTTTTATGACGATATTACTCGTAAATTGAGTTGATTAAAAAGTGGATTTATTTTGCGTGTAATTATTGATGCTATAAACCATCGGGATTAATAAAACTAATTAATTAAGCATCAGTGTTAATTGCCCGATTGCGCGATTTGCATGCGCGACAACAAATGTGCGCATTTAATTAAACCAGCGTTTTGATCGATTAGCGCAAAGTGGTGAAGTAATTTGTCAGCATGGTATTGACAATTCGTGTTATTAGTGTTGCCTACTTTGTAATTTTGGCTTTTTTATTTATTTTTGTTTTATGCAATTACAGCCTGGTTTTAATATTATTTAATGAAACCAGTAGAGTATTCTATTATAATACGTGAAACCGTAATAATTGCATTTTAAAATTAAAAATAGCTTCCAGCTGCACGTATATGCATGGTTGCCTATAGTCGGCTACATAACCTATTACTTGAATTTATTGCAAAATATTCAAATTGCGTGTAAAAGCCGCCACATTTTCATCAAAATTCATCTCCGGCAATGTTTATTCATGCGCGCGGCGCATTTCCGCGGAGATTTGACCTGGAAACGAGTTTAATCGCGATTACCCCGGCTGTTAACTGCACAAGAAGTAACGTTTCGCGTGTGCACGTTGTCCGCACTTGTGCGCATGTTTACGACGTCGATGAGAGCGGTGGCCATTATGGAATGCCCATTGTTTCACGCTCATAAAAATATTAAAATATTGCGCTGCGCGCGCGCGAATATATTTCCAGTGCACTTATGCACTTCTGCGAATATATTTCCTCCGTGCTATAAATAATATGAAATCCACGGAAGCGCCCCGCATGATGTGATCAAGTAGACGACGGGGGCGACGAGTTGAAATTCCGAACTTGAGCGTGCTCTCGAGATGAAGAAATGTGTCGACGAGTTGAGAGCAAAATATCATTGGATTTCGTGCGGCATTCAAAAACTGCATGCGCTGAAATTCACCGGACGAGTGGATAGAGATGGAGAATTGAATATAACACTGGATGAATTGGCGTGTGAGAGTGGGTGGCAGGCAGGGCAGAGGGTGGTAAACGATGCGTTTTGGGTCGCAGTTGCAGTTTTGAAAGTTTTGGCTGAGCGTGATAATCGACCTAGTAAAAATGTGAGTTGTGTTCGACGCTCGCAACAACAACACCGGCGGCGGCGCCTCCACCATTTCTAAATATTTTTATATTGCATTCCTGGTTTATTCGCGCGGAAATGGAGTAAAATTTCCAGAGAGGAATATAAACGTTTTAGTTGAT